TATTAACACATTTTTTCTATAGCCATTATTAGTGACCTAATTCTATTCTAATTAGAATGCGTTCCAAGCGATAGCCATACAAACTAATTATTCATTATGCCTTATTTAGATATATTAGACACCATCTTAAGTCCAATATATCAGTATTCTTTCTACATCTATGATATAATGTTTTTTGTTCAGACAAATCCTCATTCAAGCCTTGTTTAAGACTTATTAGGACACCCTTGCATTGTACCTTTTCCTATATACCATACAAGGCTGATTATGTCTGATTTTCATCTTTAATAATTAATAATATTATTAGTGGCTCCCGGAATGATATCATATTTATATCATTGACCATTGAATGGTATCATTTACATAAGAGTTTGCCCCTATGATATGTTATGAAATTTAATCGTTTCTGGGTCTTATTTTAGGTGTGTTTTTGACCTCCATCCATAGAGCTATTTCAGAATATATTCAAACATATTTAATAATTGCACAGACAAATCTGTCTTTATTATCAAATATCTGTTTAGTAGCTCAGTCCACATGTTATATATTATATTTTATTGGGAATTCCAATTCTGTCACCAAAGGGTTAATTATTGCAGCTGCAAAGATCATTCTATCCCTCCAAATGCTTTCCGTCACGTCATTTCAGACAACCAATGGGGAACTGCCTGCTCGGACCAATCAAACGACTTCTTTGGAATTTTAAACCCGGTGCTCACGCACCCCTCGTTTCCTCTCTGACGAGCTAGGTGTAGCGAAACGCGCGCGTCAGAGGACTGTGGTGTGCTGCACTCCTTGGATCCTTAGGGAAGCACACAGACTAGCGACCGCGCTGTTTTCATTCCATATTTCTATTTAAACATATATAGCGTCTATCTTTATTTTTGCAGATCCTATATTTTTTATATAGCTTTATCTTGACAAATAGATCTTTTGGGGGGTTGGAGCTAGGTGCCCTCGAAGGCACGGGACACATATTCATATAGAGGGTGTTACCTTTTATCATACTGTTATCAACTGTTTGTATCACTGGACGTTCCTTGTATATGACACTTTGTAGCATGGCTTATTGCTACTTGATTTATACATGTGTCTTTTGTTCTACTCTCTCCCTCCTAGATATTCTCATGTATGCTTTACTGTCGGTATAGTGATTTCTGGTTGTTGCCGTTCTATATATCCTCTATATACACTCTTTATATCTAGTCAATTAGTGGCATCCTTTTATTTGGATTACCACTCTAGCCACTTCAATACTGGTTTGAATATCAGCTCAACGTTTATTTAATGTTCTTATTTTTCTTTCATTTACCAATATTTATGGTTTCATTAGTTTATTAAATAAATGTCTCATGTATTTAAAGGACCTATATAGTACAATAGCATTTTTTGACATTTAAAGCAACAGACTTTATAATTTATTGTTGAGCCACCAGGATTTTTGAATGTATGGCACACTATTAGCCACTATGGACAGGAACAGCTTTATAGATTGTGTCACATTTACTTATTGATAGGACCTATATCGATCTACAAGCCTAATTTTGGTTTCCATAGTACCAGACCACACTACTGATCATTGATCCATCAGATCGGCACTCTGCTTTTCTAGCTTGACTAATTACCAGTCACTACCGATAGCAATAGTTTCTCATATTTTGATCTGCAATTATATTTTGTTTTTATTATATTCAACGACTTATTTTTATATATATATTTTTATTTTTTGGTGTTTATTTGGTAGCACACATTTGGGACATATTTTTGTAGTGTTCAATAAATCTTTATTATTTTTTGTTCATTTTAGTGGTTCTGTCTGGCCTAGACAGCAGGCCTTTTTGTTGGTTATTTTGCAACCCCTTTTCTTGATGCATATATCTCGCATCATGTATTAGATACATTCCTCTCTTTGTACTCTTTGAATTAAATAAATGCATCTCTATGAGAAAAGTTCAGTGTCTGCATGCAGAGGGTGGAGACACTGAATATCAGTACTGCACACTGTGCAGCACTGCCCCAGGAAGCACCTCTAGCATCCATCTGAGGAGTGGCCAGTGCAGTTATCACTAACTGCAATGTAAACACTGCATTTTCTCTGAAAAGACAGCAAAAAGCTTGAGGGTAATGATTCTACTCACCAGATCAAATGCAATAAGCTGTAGTTGTTCTGGTGACTATAGTGTTCATTTAATCTTTAATTTGGATCATGTAAAGTGTGATGATTTTCAGCAGAATTGAAATAACAAAATGTCTCTAAGTTTGGGTCAAATATGTTGCTGCAAATATATATATATATATATATATATATATATATATTTTATTTTTTTTATTTAACCCCAGTGCTTCCTATATTAGATGTATGTGCACCTGGTAATTTATCAAATTTATTTTATTAGTTTAAAATGTATATTCCAAAGCATTTAATGACTATATTTTTGCTCAGATCCCAGGATAAAAGGAGAAAAACTAGTTTGAACAAACAAAAATAAAATGGAATATTTGCTATTCAAGTCATTGTGAAGGCACTAATCCTCTTTTCCAGTTTTGGTTGATAATAAATTCTAAGAAAACCTTTGGAGGCCAAATGCAGATTTCACAGGGAAATGTGGATTACATTTTGAGACTTCATATTTAAAAGAGTACTAGTGTGTGGTCTACTTGTCGAAACATCATATATTTTGATAGGAATCAATCATACATTATCTTGTAGACATATTGGAAAAAAAATATTTGAAACATAAAAAGAAAAATCTGGTTCTACAGATCAGAGGTTGCTAAGGAAGAAAGAAACGTTTGCAAATGAATACCTAGTGGAGTAGAATAAAGGCATGTTTCAAAATTCAGACAAGGTCATTGTTTGCCTGGGGAATTTAATTCTGTCCTTGGAGCTGAATAGCTGACACTTCTCTAGCAAACACACTGTCAGAATTCTGCTATCTATTTGAAACTGTTAATCATATGAAATAGTTAAGAGATATTCTAACATGTTTTGTAATCCTATTTCCTTTAAGGGACACGGTAGGCACCCAGACCACTTCAGCCCATTGACCCTGCCTGTAGGCACCCAGACCACTCCACCCTTAACCCTGCAAGTGTAATACAGCAGTTTTATATAATATAATTACCTGGCAGGGGTAAGTCCTCCTCCAGTGGCTGTCTACAACACAGCCATTAGAGGGTCTTCCGGCCACTTAGACAACTTTTAGTCATCTAAACAATGCTGGACATCCTCACGCTATGCATGAGGACCTCTAGCATCTCCAGAATCCCAATAGGAAAGCATTGAATAAGGAGCATGGGAGGAGCTAATCCAGCACTGAGGGACATCAGATTCAGGTAAGTGTCTAAAGGGGTTTTAACCCCTCCAGTGACGTGGGATGGGGGCAGGAGGGGGGGGAGGGGAGGACTCCAGTATTCTCTATTGCCAGGAAAATGGGTTTGTTTTCCTGGTACTGGAGAATCCCTTTAACTACTGGGATTTGTGTAAGGGTGTATGCATGTCATATGCACTTTAAAAATGTTTTGTTATACCTTGTTATTTGTGTCTTTTATCTTGCTCTCATTCGCATTTAATCTGATACAATTTACCTTGTGTAGCCAATCGATTGAAAAGTTTAAAGTCTTGAATTAGGCTGCCAGGAATATTTTTTTTTTTTTTAATGATGATATTGACATATATAATACATTTGTTTTGTGCATGGTAAAGGGCCAGAAAAGCAACTTTTTTATATTTATGTCTGGGATCAATGAAGCAAATTATGATTTGGGGGGAAGGGGGGTACACAGAGAGCTTGTGGAATAAATATACATAGAGGGGAAAGGGATAAATAGATAAACAAAAGGTGCTGAGGGGAGAAAGAGACATTGAGGGGATGGGAAATGGGAGAAAGAGACACACAGAAAGGCTGGGGAAGGGCAGAAAGAGACACGTAAAAGGGCTGTGGTAGAAAGAGACACACAAAGGGGGGGAAGGGGGTAAGAGGCACCAAAATAGGCTGAAAGTGTTATGAACATTTTCAAATATCACAGATTTTAGAATGAAAAGTTGTCTTTCTTAAACTGTGTACAAGTTGCTAAAAATTTAAAATATTGATTATCATAGAATGTTTCTTTAATAAATCTTACCTAGATCCATGAAAATATGTTTAGACTTTAAGATGCCATATCGTCCTAGATTAATGTCAGGACCCCATTTATGTCATGTGTAAAGGGACACTATAGTCACCAGAACAATTACAGCTTAATGTAGTTTTTGCGGTGAGTATAGTCAGTCCTTGCAAGCTTTTTGCAGTAAACACTGTCTTTTCAGACAGTTTACATTACATAGGGACACCTCCAGTGGCAATTCCTCAGATGGCTACTAGAGGTGATTCCTGGGGCAGTGCTACATAGTTTTTAACACTATAGGGTCAGGAATACATGTTTGTTTTCCTGACCCTATAGTGTTCCTTTAACCTTAAAAATGTGTCAAAACAAAGATTAAGATGCCCAGGTCATAACAATAGGCAGATTAAGTTTTTTTACTATAGTTTTTCAAATGGGAATTAATTTTTGCATAAGATTTATCATTTTCCTCACATGGCCTAATTGAAAATATAGGTTATAAATATATATACTTATTAATATTAGGGACAGAGGGGATAATTTGGAAGCAGAGATACTGCTACATTTTAAAAGACTGAGAGGGAATGTTATTCTATTTTATTTATATTGCAATTTATAATATGATGTAATTCCAGTGGCGGATCCAGAGCCTGATCTCGGGAGGGGCACTTGTAGATTATTTAAAGAAATAATCCAGACACAATAACCACTACAGCTCAGTGTAGTGGTTATGGTGTCAATAGTGCCGGGACCCCCTCCCACAGTAAGTAGTCAAACCATTTAAGAACAGTTTGACAACTTACCTGAGATCTGCTGGGAAATGGGGCAGTAGTAGGGCATAGGAGCAGTGGTGTGTGTGAGTGGTGCAATGTGTAAGGGGTGCAGAGTGTGTGTGAAGGTTGTAGTGTGTGAGTGAGGGTGGCAGTGTATGTCAGGGATGCAGTGTATGTGTGGGACAGTATGTGTGTGTAACAGTTGCAGTGTGTGTATGGGGGGCAGTGTGTGTGTATGGGGGGGCAGTATGTGTGTATGGGGGGCAGTATGTGTGTATGAGGGGCAGTGCGTGTGTATGAGGGGCAGTGCGTGTGTATGAGGGGCAGTTTGTGCGTATGAGGGCAGTTTGTGTGTATGGCGGGCAGTTTGTGTGTGTATGGGGGCAGTGTGTGTGTGTATGGGGGGCAGTATGTGTGTATGTGGGGCAGTATGTGTGTATGTGGGGCAGTATGTGTGTATGTGGGGAAGTATGTGTGTATGGGGGCCAGTGTATGTGTATGAGGGGCAGTGTGTGTGTATGATGGGCAGTGTGTGTGTATGATGGGCAGTTTGTGTGTATTGGGGGCAGTTTGTGTGTATTGGGGGCAGTTTGTGTGAATGGGGGGCAGTTTGTGTGTATAGGGGCAGTTTGTGTGTATTGGGGGCAGTTTGTGTGAATGGGGGGCAGTTTGTGTGTATAGGGGGCAGTTTGTGTGTATAGGGGCAGTTTGTGTGTATAGGGGGGCAGTTTGTGTGAATGGGGGGGCAGTATTGGGGGCAATGTATGTGTGTGTGGCTTTTTTTTTTTTATAATATATATATTTTTTATTTAATTAAAATAAATATCCTATGTCCCCCCTCCCTTCTTACCTTTACTGGGGGGAGGGGGGACATATTTTGTTCCCTGGTGGTCCGGTGGGCGATTCATTGGTGGTCCCAGTGGGGAGAGTGAACTCTAGCCCGCGCTCCAGGGCTAGAGTTCACTCTCGCGAGATTTGGAGCGTTGCCGTGGTAACCGCGGCAACGCTTCAAATCACACGAGAGGAGGACCCGGAGGAGCTGCAGGCTGAGCTCCGGGTCCTCTCTCGCCTCCCTCTCACTCCCTCTCCCTCCCCTGCCGGCTCTCAGCACAGTGCCTGCGGTCCGCAGGCACATTGCAGGGCTAGCGAGGAGGAAGAGGGACACCGGCAGGGGAGGAAGAGGGACACCGGCGGATTTCTCGGGGGGCGGAGTTGCCCCGTTGCCCCCCCCCCCCGGATCCGCCACTGTGCAGAGCTCAGTCTGCGCGGAGCCCTCCATGGGTGAAGAATGATTTTTTTTTTTTGCGCTCTTTTTTATTTTGGATTTTTTATTTGCCCTTTTTTGGGGCTGAAAAAATAGGATTTTAGAAGAAAGAAAACATCAAATGGTAAGTTTTTTTTTTTTTTTACAGGTACTTAGTTAATGCCCCCCCCCCTCATTATTTTTTAGGGTGAGGGGGGTAGGTAGGGGTTAGGTTTTTTTGGGAGGGGGGAGACTAGGGGTTTGGGGACCCCTAATCACCTGGGGGAGGGGGTTTCATTTTTTATTTAGCGCCCCCACCCGCCGCTCAGGGGTGGGGGCCAGGGGGAGGACAATAGGTCCCCCACTTATTGGTATTTAGGGCCCCCACCACTCAGGGGTGGGGGCCAGGAGGAGGACATTAGGTCCCCCTTATTCTAAATTAGGGCCCCAGCCCACCATTCAGGGGTGGGGGCCAGGGGGAGGACATTAGGTCCCCCCTATTAGTATTTAGGGCCCCCACCCACTACTCGGGGTGGGGGCCAGAGGGGAGGACATTAAGTTCCCCCTTATTAGTATTTAGGGCTCCCACCCACCACTCAGGGGTGGGGGGCAGGAAATTAGGTCCCCCCCTTATTACTATTTAGGGCCCCCACCCGCTGCTCAGAGGTGGGGGCCGGGGGGAGGACATTAGTTCCCCCTTATTCTAATTTAGGGCCCCCACATGCAGCTCAGGTGTGAGGTCCGGGGGGGGAGGACAACAGGTCCCCCCGCCCCATTATTTTACTTTAGGGTCCCCACCCGCTGCTCAGGGGTGGGGGCCGTGGGGAGGACAATAGGTCCCCCCCTTATTCTAATTTAGGGCCCCCACCCACCGCTCATGAGTGGGGGCCGAGGGGAGGACAATAGGTGTCCACCTTATTTTACTGTAGGGTACCCACCCGCCGTTCAGGGGTGGGGGCCGGGGTGGGCAATAGGTTTTTTTTTTTTTAAGTGATTAGCCACAGGCTGCTCACTGTTTACTAGACATGCCTCTACTTGTGGTATAGCGAATAGGGGCTGAATTTACTAATACTAAGTAATGTTTACTTAGTATTAGTAAATTTGGCTGAAAGACCAATTCAGGTCTTTCAGCCTTTTAGTAGATTGCTCTCTAATACTGTGGGAATTAGGGAGTTATCTACTTATTCATTCTTGTCATTACATTGACTGGCTAAGTAACTTACATTTTATATGAATGTGTGTTACTTGATTGTTGTAAGTGTTGCAAATGCTTACAGCTGAATCCTGGCTATGTTTGAATACTTTTTATTTAAAATTGTATACAGTGTAACATTCTTCATTCTTCCACTGGGTAAGTATATTAGTTCTTAGGCAATACTGTGCTTCGGAACTTTGGCACTTCAACACTTCGGAAATTCGGTAATTTCGGAACTTCGGGACTTCAACAATTCGGCAATTCATCTATTCGGACATTCGGAAGTACCTGAATGTCCGAATTGCCCTGAGATTCGTCCGAATTCACATTCGGACCGAAATGAATTGCACATGTCTAAAAAGTAAAATAAAAAATAAATATATACACTAATTTCATCTGCAATATTACATCTGCATCACTGCATACAGCTACAATCGCTACTTTAATCAGGGAAAAGGTTCAGCGCTGATAAGGGTATGTAGCGTCCCGGATAAGTATAAATATGCGGGGAGAACAGAAGAGAGAGAAAAACTCCAATGGTGTAGTATAAAAACAGAATATGAATATATAGTAAATATTTGTGGAACTACTCACAATCTTCAGAGCTTAAATCCAGCTCTGGTATGGATAGCGTGAAGTGGAATAATCCCCACTCAAGGATATGTGGTGCTCCTCTTTGGTCCTTTGGTGGAAGGATGGAGTTCAACTCAGGATAAAAATAATAAAAAAAATATATAGTGCTCACTGTGTGGTTGGTGAAACAATAAAAATGAAATAAAATATACTCACGGTATATAGAGCAGACGTACTGCTCGGTGAATGGCGTATGAGTGGTATAATCCCCACCTTAAGGATTCTTTGGTAGTCCAATATGGTCTAAATCGATGGTAGTTAGGTCTGGATAAAATGAACTTACATAGAATAAAATAATAAATAATATGATATAAAAGTGAAAAGAGGAATGTGGCACACCAGTGTATAATAGCCAGATATTCCTTTAATGACACTTTGATTTAAAAAAAGAAAGTTTCTATACGTGTTTCGCCACAAAGGCTTCATCAAGTAGAAACAGTATAAAAAAGAAAGATTTTATACCACCCATACGCCATTCACCGAGCAGTACGTCTGCTCTATATACCGTGAGTATATTTTATTTCATTTTTATTGTTTCACCAACCACACAGTGAGCACTATATATTTTTTTTATTATTTTTATCCCGAGTTGAACTCCATCCTTCCACCAAAGGACCAAAGAGGAGCACCACATATCCTTGAGTGGGGATTATTCCACTTCACGCTATCCATACCAGAGCTGGATTTAAGCTCTGAAGATTGTGAGTAGTTCCACAAATATTTACTATATATTCATATTCTGTTTTTATACTACACCATTGGAGTTTTTCTCTCTCTTCTGTTCTCCCCGCATATTTATACTTATCCGGGACGCTACATACCCTTCTGATGGACTATTAGGACCACCATTTGCGCATTTGGACATTTTATATTTGGACTATTAGGTACCGTGGTTATCCCATTTTTTATATTATTTGGACATTTTTCCGAATTTTTTGTTATTGCTGCTATTCTCATTTTACTATTTTTACTTGTTTTAGGCGCACCGTTATTCTTTTCTCTCTTTTCTATTGTACTTCAAGGGGTTCAGAGGGGATTCCCTTTTTAAGGTGTGCTGCCTTGTTATTATACTCCCTGTTTCTTATCAGCGCTGAACCTTTTCCCTGATAACTATTTATATATGACTTAGTTTAAAATCAAACATTAAAATCAAACATTGTCACTATAAAATCAACATTAGGTCATAATTAGATGATGTTGTGTCAGACCAGATAATGCCTGTCTGCATACATCTCTGTTTATTCTGCCACTGAGTTCTTTATGTCAGCCTATTGTGATAGAAAATGATTGAAGACTGTCATATCCCTACAATAAGCTGATGATATTAAAGCTCTTTAGGCAATGAATCTTCAGATGGAAAAAAAATAAATAAATAACTGAATCAAGGCCTCCATCAGGCACTATACAGGCATGGTAGCTGCATGAGAAAAAAACTATTCCTCTTACAGACACATTTCTTGAATTTAATTAGTATTTAAACACTCCATAACAAGTCATATCATCAACCTATGAAAAAATGAGGTCGTAGGTGTGAATAAACATTTTGACGTTAGTGATTTCAAAATATATTATCAGTGTCACAGAATAACGCAGGCTGATTGGAGCATCCGACATACGTAAGTTTGGCTGTGTTCTATAATAATGTGGGGACATAAGAACAGATTTTAGACTCGAATTTACAGGATTATTCACTAAAGTGACATTCAAGATGAATTCAAAGTTAGAATAGCTAAACGGATAGCAGAGCTGACTTAGAAAACGTTTCCAGGTTGAATATTTTGGCCTTAAATATGAAATTAAAAGTCAGCGATACTTTCCGTTTTACTATTCTAACCTTGAATTCACCTTGAATTGTTACTGTGGTGAATAACCCTGGTACACTAAAATTGCGCTTGAGGAACAAAATCTGCAATTGTAAAACAAAAAAAATCTGATTATAACATAAAGATAGTGATCTGCGCTGATAAAATTATATCTAAATAATGGTCAGAATTTCAAAGCAATGTTTTGCATATACTTTACACAAAGTCATAGTATACACAACAAATACAAGAAAATATGGATATTCCTCTTACAAGTAAATTAAATCCTGAAATTTGCTTTGTGAACTTTTATAGTTTCGCAGTGGGCATAAAAATTAAATGTGCAGAATCTTCCATTGATCAAGTGACAGCACTTTTCATGTACCTCACCTCGGTTCGATGAACAACTATTAAGTTGGGCTAATTTTGCCAGTTGTGGTACTATATTGATTTTAATGAC